TATATCTTTTAGTCTATCATGATAATGCACAATATTTTAATAATGGATTAATCATTTTAATTATGTTATTTTAATTATTAAGTTCTGATGTCAGATTTCCATATTTTTAAAATTCAAAAAATAAAAAGGAACCTTAAAGCTCACCTTCTGTTCCTGAGATTTGATTGTCATAATTAGCGTACATTCTTGAGTTATGGTCAAAACAATATTTTGTAGGTCACAGTGAATTTTGACCACTAAAATCATTGTTCATTGTTGAGTCCAAGTGAATGTTTGTGCCAAACCGGAGGAAATTCCCTCAAGATAAGATATCACATTTGGAAAAATGAGACAGACAAGGTCATAGTGATCTTGACCTTTGACCACTAAAATCTAATCACTTCATTGATGAGTACAAGTGAACATTTGTGCCAAACTTGGAAAAAATTCTTTAAGACATTCTTGAGATATCAAGTTCATGAGAATGAGACAAACAAGGTCAAAGTGACCTTGAACATTGACCACCAAAAACTGATACTTCATTCTTGAGTCCAAGTGGACGTTTGTGCCAAATTAGAAAAAGTTCCCTCAAGGCGTTTTTGACATATCACATTCAGGAGAATGGGACGGACAACCTGAAAACAAAATTTCTTGGTGACATAAAAAAAAACAACCCAAATCTGATTAAGTACGTTTAAAAAAAAAAAATCTCCTACTGTATCGTGATACACCGTTACCATGAAATACAATTAAATATTCCGTGATGGAAGATTTTGGCTGTATTACCCACCCCTATTATAAACAAATGAAGTTAAAATTCACAGAGTTGTCCCAGAAAAGGTAAATCTGACTCTCTGTGTACCGACTAAAGAAAGGGATGACTGTGAGTTTATAGTGATGAATATTCTTCAGTGAGTGATGACGTGGTCTCAGACTCACCTGGGCTGTTGTCGGCTGTCAGGTTGCTGCTGTTACTGGGTGAGTTGGAGAGGTCAGAGACCACCACACTGATGCCAGCCGTGGGACTGAGGCTCCCACCCCGTGATGATGACTCACTGCTCTCTGAGCCTAGTGATGTGCTGGAACGAGTGTCTGAAGACTTCCTCAGCTTCCCTCTCAGGAAGAAGGTCCTCATCTTGCTCCGCCGCACCTCGCCCCCCTCGTCGTCCTCGTAATCCTCCTCCCCGCCTCCGTCACTCGGTAGCCGGTGCCGCATCCGGTAAAGGGATGCCGAACCGCTCGATACGATGGCCGATGCCGAGTCCTCGTCACTGGATCTCCTCTTGGCCCTCATGCGCTCTTTCAGCTTGACAAAGGTGGAGGCGCTCTTGTCCTTCATGACGAGGTCGTACATGCTGGCTGTCAGGTTGTTTCGGGTGAACTGGACGGTGACCTGAATGTCTCCTCGCTCCTTCTCCTTCTTCCCCGTCTTAGAGTGGAGCTTGTACCACCTGCAACAGAGAGCAAGCCATTCAAGCGAGATCAACAGAAAACACTCTATGTTCATCACTCAGCACTGACACAGTCATTTCATCAGTTCGTTAGCTGACAGAAAATCAATTCATGGTTGTATTCATTTATCAAACAAAATATGCAGAACAGTTCAGCTTCTCCAACATGAGACTTTTGATGTTTTCTCTTCTCTGTTGAAGGGTGGGTTTTTCAAACACCCACTCTGCTGTTAGCAAAGAGCAGTGATGTAGGTCAAGGCTCTGAAACACCCAGCCAGCGGTCGGTCAATGTCAGGCTGTCATTGAGCATCTGTCGCCCTTGACGCTGTGGTGTGTCCCACACTGTGGCCCCTCGTCGGCCCCCCTTAGCTTTTTTTTTGCCCGATTAAGCATGTTGAATCAGCGTCAGCGATGGCCGAACTCGTTTGTGAGTGACATCATTCTGATTGTCAGTTCAGCTCAGCGCACAAGAAGAGGAACTGAAGTGAGGAAAGTAAACAAAGAGTTAAAGTCCAGAGGGAGTGAGACCAGAACAAACTTGTTCCATAAGGTCAGATTATTTTTTCTCTTTAGCATTGGATTGTGATGTTAATGTGCTAACTGGCTAACTAGCATCAAAACAGTTTACCTGTTTCTCCTTTTTGAATGACAAATACAGACGACCGCCATCTGCTGCTGTGGAGTTATTTTCTCTCATGCAGGTGCAGAAGGTACGTGCTGGTTGACTGTCAGTTGTCATCTTTACGGTGCGTTGATGTGCCACTTTTTGGCCGATCAAGAGCTATACGGCCCGACGATAAACAGCAGGTTGTCAAACTGCCCCTGAGTCATCCTAAAATCTGCCTGTAAACATCCATGATGGAGGAGAAGCTCCTGGACCAACTGGTGGTACTCCCCATGATCCAGCCTCTTTTTTAGGGTCTCATGTACCCACACAGATCTCTGTTTATCTGCTGACAGCGTCTCACCCTCAACCAGAGCTACAGACAGTACCCTCTGCCTCAACATGGCAGGAACTACACACTGATTACTGGAGGATATATACAATAAATAGATTAAAAATACATTGATTACACAGAAAGGTTAGAATAAGGAGGTGATGGGGTGGTTGCATGGCAACAATAAAAAGGCACAGCAAGTGGGCACTGCGGCGCACCTCGTGTTTTGCAACCTGCAAAACACTTTCTGTGTGATCTGGGCCTTTGTCAGACCCCATGTGTTTCCATGGAAACTGAGACGGTCACAAAAAGTTTTTGGTTCTGAGAGCTAACTGCCCCTCATCATGAATATATTTTGATTACATATTTTATTTGTTGGTCAAAGTTGTATAATCACAATATTACGCCTCGGCTCTGACTGCATCACTGATGCACCGCAAACACGCCAAGTACAGAATGAGGAAAACAAAAGTCCCTCCCACTTGACACATGTAACCCTTCAGTGTAGTAATATGTAAATGTCAAATAAGATTCACAGTGTGGGAGAAGTATTAAACTACAAACGTTCACATATTTTGAAGTATCATTTTAAGGTGCACTGACACAACTCTTCACTGAGTCAGTTCAGCAGTATGTGTTCTGGTCATGAAACAACATGAAGGACTGTATTGTTAGCATGAATGGGGCTAATCTGTCCTCACACAGAGTGAGAGTGTGCATCTGTGTCCCACTAACACCACAAGGCTGCGTGTGGTCAGACATCCCACAATACCTCAAGAGACCACTTGTTTTCTGTCATCAGACCGGATGAGCACGAACAATGCAGTGAAACAATGCTCATTTCTGACTGAACACTGAGTGTCCTACATAAACATGACAGGAAAACACATTTCACCAGCTGTAGACTGGTTTACTGGACATGGCACAGGGGAGCAGTTCTTAGAAACACTGCGCACCTCAGGGCGTAACACCGCCAACAAGTCCGCTGCACCGTGACTCATGGGAAAGTCTCATCTGCTGTGTTGTGACCAGTTTAAAAAAATGATATGACTGAGAAAAATTCCCCGGTTAACATGTGTTTCTGACACTCTGAGCTGCCAAAGGGAAGTTATCAGAGCAGGGAGCACGACTCAACACTGGGCCTGAAACCAAGACCTGCTTATATTCTCTCACTTCCTGTGCTGCTGTGCCATTTTCAACTCACACCTCGACCACAGAGACTTTCTCTATTGTTCATAAATGAGCTCTGCGAGGCCGACTGACACATACCTGGACAAATTCACAATTAGAGTAAAGTTTCATAGTGCCACATGTAGGTTACACTCTAAATCCAAGGACCAGTTGACTCCAGATAAAGAAGCTTGAAAGAAATATGATGTAATTGTATTAGTGAAAAACAAACTAATATACATGGAGACAAAAAGGCCTAAACTTAGAAGGCAAATGCAGAAGGCCAGCTACAAGGCTACACGCCATAAATACAGACTCCTTTACCAAACACAATGCAGTTTAAATTAAAACATTAGACCCTGATCACACAGAAAGTGTTTCAGCAGTTGGAGGCGGCTTTTTGTAATAGTTTTTAATGAGAGTGAAAATTTTGCTCACTGTTTTTGTTTTTTTGTTCTGCACTTTAGGCACCTGGTGTTTTTGCGGGAGCGCTCTGAAGTCCTCGAGTTGAAAAAACTTCAGCTCAGAGCAGAAAAGCGCCCCACGTTATCTCTGCTTTTCCCCATTGTCCGATCGGATGATTTGAGAGGCGGGGCTTCTGTGGTGGACACGACAATAAGTTTACAGTTGGCAAACAATGGAGGAGAAACTGGTGGTAGTGGTTGCTGGATACCCAGAGCTATACGACTTTACAAAGCACAGTTAGCACCATCTCAATAGAAAACAGCAGATAAGTGCAGTACTGTAAACGTCCATGATGGAGGAGAAGCTCCTGGACCAACTGGTGGTACTCCCCATGATCCAGCCTCTTTTTTAGGGTCTCATGTACCCACACAGATCTCTGTTTATCTGCTGACAGCCTCTCACCCTCAACCAGAGCTACAGACAGCACCCTCTGCCTCAACATGGCAGGAACAATAAATAGGTGCAGCAAGCGTTTTTTTACAAGTGGCATTCAATTAACAAAAGAAAAAGGCAGTGCAGTGCTTCTTGTGTTTTGCACAACACTGTGTCTTTAACTGAATTAAATGTTCTTAAATGTAGCTAATGTTTTAATCACTTATATTAGCTGTGAAATTCTGACAGACGTGAATTCAGTCACAAATATAAAACAGGATGTCAGAGGAGGTACAGTAACCTAAATTCTGCTTCATGAACAACTCAAACATCCCCGTCTGTTGAGTCAACAAGAAAACCCTAAATGTCATGCTGTGGAAAGTCAGATGTTGAAAAGAAGAGAAGTCAGAGAAACGGAGGAATAAACCTCAAAGACGAGACATGAAAGAAAAGAGAGATTGAAGCAAACCCACTGAGGTACGCAGGATCTGAGAAAAGGAAGCTCACACATTAAGTGCTCAGTTATCTTAGAAACCAGAGAGCTTTTCATCCCCCCCAACATTTCCTCCTTTTCTTTTCTGTAAACCTTCAGTATGACTGCGCAAAAACTCAGCGAGGCACAAAATTAACACGAGGTACAACCCAAGCACTGCTAACTCAAGGCTGCAGATGGTGTGTTCACTGAATTCTGCAGCTCGTTACAGTGGTGATCTACTGCTTCAACTAAAATGTGATTTTAAAACTGATGAAGTGAATTCATTTTGTGTTTTTAGGCTGCAATTATTGTGCTGTTTTTTATAATCAAATTCCTAATTTTTCTATTTATCCTCCACAGTTTTACAAAGTAAATGTTTGTGAAAACAAAGCTCGGAGAATCATGGGAAACTAAAAAACCCCTGTAATTATTAAAAAACATTTATCTTGATTTGCAGTTTTGTAGGCAAAACCTATCACTGCCCAAACTCTTGGTAGAGGTTTTGTTAACATTCAGCTGAATGAACAGCAGACACTGTGTCTAACAAGCCTGCACTTAGCATTGTAGCATGCTAACATAGATAACCATTACCATGTTAGCGGGCTTGGATGTAATATTTAGCAGGAGAGCAGGGAAATATCGTCAGGATAATAATCACCAGTTCTTGAGAACTGGGACAAATCATCCTACCAAAAACACCATTAAAGTTATACCTGATTGACAAACTAATTTCATTTCTGAGCTGAAACATTATTTCTAAAGATTTTTTATATGAAATAAATATAAAATATAAAACATTTTGATCTGCTTTCACTTATTTAACATCTAAACGCGCAGTGTCAGAAAACAGCCTCGTCCCAGAATTCAAACTCTGTCAGATTTCTACACAAACATAATTTATTTGGGTATAAAAGGGGTGAGCTACAGAGACAGAGCAAAACGGGTCACACTCTATAAACCACACCCACCAGGGGGGAAAACTTTCAGCACTATAATATGGAACGAAGGGCTGAAACGCTTACAAAATGGCTGCTTTGTAAATGCTGCTCAGGTGCTGGTGAGCTTTTTTGATACATTCATTAAATAATATTGCCATCAGGTGTGTCTCAGCTCAACAGATCAACTCCTTAGCCCTAAATCCAAATCAAATAAGAATTACGGTTTAAAAATTAGTCTTTTTATTAGTACTATGGGAACTCTTTGCAACTTTGAAAAATAAAATGGCTCCTCACTACGACTGCTGTAGAATAATAATAAGTAATGTGCATTTTTTAATTTGGCAGAAAGTCAAAGTTAAAACGACAAAGACATTGTGGGTTATAATTAACATTAAATGCTAACGTTACAAGTTAGTATGATAACATGCTATTGTTCGCATATTGCTAACATTGTAATGTTAGCATGCTATGTTAGCATTAATCTCAAACTGCATGTGAGGCTCAGTAGAATTCATTTTTAGAGATTATTCTGCCAATGAAATAGTGTTTTAAAGAGCGGTTTAACTGTGTGGCACTGGATAAAATATTTAAGAGATAGCTAAAACTTTCAGGTTAATCCTGTGGGGGCGAGGAACGTCTATC